TCAGAATCATTTCACTGAGATACCTAATTCTGACACAAAACCAGAAATCATAAAAGGGGAGATTTATGAATCTATGCCAGACATGGTAGCATGTGTCTATAATCCAATCACTCAGGAGACTGAGACAGGAGAATCTCACATTCAAGGCCAGCCTGGGCAAATTAGTGAGATTCTGTCTCAAAAAGGGCTGGGGATGTAGTTCAATAATTGAGTGTGGAGGCCCTGGGTTGTATCCACAACACCAAAAAAAGGAAAAAAAAAAAGAGTTTCAGACATGTAAAAACAATTCCTGACACAATAAGAAATGAGAACACACTAAAAGCAAAAGGTATATAAAGCTCACTACAGTAATAATAAGGGACTCTTGAAATTAAAACACCAAACCCAATTTTTAAAAGGGATCAATAAACATCAAACAGGCAATCAGCAAAATTCAGACTGGAAATTTACAGGTTAATCTTATTCAACAAATAAGAAAAAAATATATGGGGAAATGTACCAATTAAGAAAAATAAACAGGTATTCAAGTTCACTAAAGGCCCAATAAGGTTATGAAAAAGGGTTCATTATCAGTCTCAAGAGAAAGCAAATTAAAAACATACAACACAACATACAATGGCTACCCTTATAGACTAGCAACACCCAACAGTTAGAATGTACTTAGAATTCTGTGGGAATGTAAAATAGGAGGGCCACTATAAAAAAAGCTATGTAAGACCCTAATTTAAAATATATCACTCTTGCAACTCGAGATCTTCTACTCCTAGACATTTACCCCAAATAAATTAAAATGAAAGGTGCACAAAAAGGCTTGTAGAAGATGTTCAAAGCAACTTTATTCATAACAGCCAAAACCTGGAACCAGCTCATCAACTGCTCACCTAACAGGTAAAGGTTCAACTGTGGCATATTCATATTCATACAATGGAATACTAATCAGCAATGAAAAGGAACAGAGAGGTGAAACACACAAAAGAATCGCAAATGCTGAAACTTACACAAGCATACACATCATATATAAGCATATGTACTATATGATTCCAATTAATTTCTAAAATAAGCAAAACTAATCTGTGGTCAACAAAATCCTAACAATGGATACTTGCATGGGAAGAGAACAAAGTACAAGAATGGTACAGGAACTGACCAGGTAAAAAATTTTCTCCAGCAACGCTAAGGTAGGAGGATCAAGAGTTCAAAGCCAGCATCAGCAACTTAGAAAGATTCTGTCTCTAAATAAAATACAAAAAAAGGACTGAGGATGTGGCTTAGTGGTTAAGCGCCTCTGGGTTCAATTCCCAGTACCAATCAATCAATCAATCAATAAACAAAATTCTAATGTGATGGAAATGTTTCATAGCTTGCTAAGGGCTTGAGTTACACAATTGCACAAATACACAGAGCACAGGCTGAGAAAGGAGGATCTCCAGTTCAAAGCCAACCTCAGCAAAAGTGAAAGACTAATCAACTCAGTGAGACTTTGTCTCTAAATAAAATATTTACAAAATAGGGCTCAGTAGTCCAGTGCCCCTAAATTCAATCCCTACTATTAAAAAAAATCAATGACATGTATACTGAAAAGTTTAAGTATAAATGTCTACAATTTATTTTGACATGGATAAAGAAGATGGCTGGACATGGTGGCACATGCCTGTAATCCCAGTGACTCAGCAGGGAAGGAGCAGCACAAGTTCAAGGGCAGCCTGAGCAATTTAGCAACAAGACCCTGTTTCTAAACAAAAAATGTAAAAGTCAGGCAACAGAGTTGGTGGTGGAGCATCCCTGGGTTCAACCCCGGTACCACAAAAACAAAAAAAGAAAAACTGAGGGATGAATATGTACATGATAAAGTATGGCAAAATGTCACTAGCAGAATCTAAGTGATGGGTAAAAGGTATGTTGATGATCCAAATTGTATGTATGTTTCAAATTTTTTGTAAAAGATTGCAAGGAAAAATATGCATACTCAACTGTAATGTGCATGTGGACTATCTGCATTCTGATTCAAAGAAATGATTGGGTGTGCGGGTGCATGCCTCTAATCCCAGCCACTCAAGAGGCTGAGGCAGGATTACAAATTGGAAGCCAGCCTCAGCAACTTTTTAGCAAGACCCTGTCTCAAAAAATAAAAAGGGCTGGAGATGTAGCTCAGCGTAAAGCACCCCTGGTTCAATCCTCAGTACCACCAAAGGAAAAAAATGTTTTCAAAAATGATAACCGGCTTGGTCACAAGAAATTTTATTTTTATGAAATGAGTTGTGTTTTTTTTAAAGTGCATTCTGAAATATTTACAGGTGAAATAATGCTATCTAAGGTTTAAAAATTAATGAGGAGAAGGCTGGGGCTGTAGCTCAGTGGCAGAGCACTTGCCTAGCATGCATGCGGCACTGGGTTCGAACCTTAGCATCACATACAAAAATAAGCAAATAAAGGCATGCTGTCCACCTACAACTACAAAAAAAACCTACAAAGCCATTAATTTAAAAAAAAAAATTAATGAGGTGGGGGAAAGCCATGTGCAGTGGCAAGCACCTTCAGAACTGGCACTTGGGAGGCAGAGGCAGGAGAATCACTCAGGCTCATAAGTCTGGAATCAATTTGGGCAATAATGTGAGACTTGTGGTACTGGGGATTGAACCCAGTGGCACTATAACACTGAGCTACATTGCCCCCACCCCTTTTTTCCCCCCAATTTTGAAACAGGGTCTCACTAAATTGCCTTGCCTTGAACTTTCAATTCTCCTGCCTCAGCCCCCAGAGAATAGGTGGGATTAAAGGGAATGCACCACCATGCTCCACAAGACCCCATCTCTTAAAAAAAAAAAAAAAAGCCAGGCTCAGTAGCATATAATCCCACTTCTCAAGAAGCTAAGGCAGAAGGATTGCAAGTTCAAAGCCAGCCTCAACAACTTAGCAAGACTCCGTCTCAAAATAAAAAATAGAAAGGTTAGGCAATGTAGTCCATAATAAAGAGACCCTGGGTTCAATCCCCACTACCACAAAAAAGAATAACTGGATGGGGATGAAACCAGGCTACCTATAAACTGATAATCATTGGTGATTTAAATGGGAAGGTGATTATGCTATTCTATTTTTGTATGTTTGAATTTTTCATAATAAAGGTTTTTTTTTTTAATTGGAAGAAGATATAAAGATAGTTCACACTGCACAATCATTAACAAAGAACAAAGCCAGGCACAGTGGCTTACACCTGTAATCCCAGCAGCTCGGGAGGATGAGACAGGAGGATCACAAGTTCAAAGCCAGCCTCAGCAATGGCTAGGCACTAAGCACCTCAGTGAGACCCTGTCTCTAAATAAAATACAAAATAGGGCTGGCTGAGTGGCTGAGTTCAATCAACAGAACCAAAAAAAAAAAAAAAATTAGTGAAGATTTTGTATACTAATATAAAACGACCTTTAAATTGTTCAATTGGGGGAAAAATGCAGACCAGCAATGTCTAATAATTGCTTAAGTATATATACAGTATAAATTTACATTAAAAATTGATGATAGGGTTGCCTGAGAAGGGGAAGTGGCTAAAGTAATAGAATGGGAGGAAGGCTGTTCACTGCATACCTTCTCCATCTCTTCATTTTCTTCAAAAAATATAAAGAATTTTTAAATTAGCCCCGTTCTTCATTTTTATATCATCAAAGTTTAAGAGAGACTGAATATTCCTTTATCGCTTTTATGAAACTCAATAAGAAAACTTACCAAAAAACAGGGCAGAAGATCTAAACGGACACTTCACCAAAGATGAAAAAAAGGCAACTAAGTGTATGAAAAGATGTTTATTATTGCATTATAGAAATAACTTCTTTATGGAAATGGAAATCAAAACAATGAGGGTTGGGGCTATGGCTCAGTGGTAGAGCGCTCACGCAGCACCCACAAAGCACTGGGTTCGATCCTTAGCACCACATTAAAAAAATAAATAAAGGTATTGTGTCCACCTACAGCTTAAAAAAAACACATTTAAAAAAAAAAATGAGATAACACTAACTACAATAGCTTAACTCCAAAACACTTAACTCCACCAAATGCTGGTAAGGATGGGGAGCTACACAAACTCTTGGTGGGAATGAAAAATGGGATAGCCACTTTGGAAGACAGTTTAGCAGTTTCTTACCAAACTAAAATTAATCTCTACCTAAGGAACTGAAAACATGTCTACTAACAAAAAACGATGAATGAACGTCTACAGCAGCTTTATTCCCTTCCTAAAAATTTCAGAGATTATTTTCTAATCTGTTAAACTCAGGAATAGGAACATATTTCTACTACTTGAGAAGTCTTGTTTTATCAAAGCCTCTATTATTTCAACCTTCTTCTACTCTACAGCTGAGGTACACCACTCTACTTTGGTCCTACCAATTGAACAAGAATTCTTTCACATAATGTATGGGAACTCTTCAGGACTATGGAGTATTTTAAATAATAAGGTGAAGAGGATGTAACACAGAAGAAAAAAAAAATCTCCAAATAAAAACCTACTAACCTACTAGGGATTGTTTAGAAATGCTAACAGAGCATGTTAGCTAATAAGTGGGATCTTCACATACCATGTCACCTACAGGGAAGTGGTTTTCTTATGCTTCTCCACAGTGCAGTAGTGAAAAGGACATAGAATCTTCTGACCATACCTAACTTGGCTGCCATTGCCACCTGGGTATAAAGGAACACTGGCTCAGTTTCAGTGTCCAGAATCAGTGAATACATTACATTGGATCACAATCTTCAGGAATGTTCTCCTTTGTGTTTACATAATCTCTATCAGAGTTTTTCTCCCTTGCACTATCTTAAGAAACAGCTAAACCAAAGCAGGATATGGGGACTCTGACCACAGACTCCAACCCCACCATTTTTGACAGTTTTACAACAAAGATTATAAAGACATAAGGAAATCACACAGAAGATAGAAATTCACTCATTGCTTCCTTCAAAAGCAAATAATAATGCACAGCCAAGTTTGAACAAAAAATTTTGAGACAAAAATGTCCTGTGAATGAATAAGACTTTTATTCTGTTATGTGGATCTTCTCCTCTCCTAATAACTACATTTGCCTTATCAATCAGTCACTCACTCGCCTAAATTATGAACAAAAACTAATAAGTAGAATATATGAATTCATATGGTGACTTCCCCAAAATGAACCTGTTTTGTACTGAGAACTCAGTCTTTAGTGAAGCAAGAAGACATATTCCTTCAAGTTTACCCATCACACAGTATTTTAATGCTCTTGCTCTCATTCTTTTCCCAAAAAAGCACAAATGAAACTCATTAGCTGAAGACAAAGTACAAATGAATGAATTCCTCACTAAACCCAATCCCAATAGACTCTACAGGAATTTTCTAAAGAAAATTAGATACCAATTATGAATGGGATTGTTCAGACCCTGAACAAATGACATAAGTACGGACACCAGTTCTCACAACTTGGCACATTCAACCACATATGAAAACATTTCCATCTGAGTAGTACATCTGTTAGATTAAGTCATGTACTTACAGGAGAATTTTTTAAAATACAACTGAAAATTAATCATTTCTTCTTACATTAATATACCAGGAATTGCTGTAATAAAATATATAAGCAACTGACTCACATACTCCAATAATAAATACTCTTAGGTAATCTTCAGCCTAAAGCGAGCCTCCATTTATTGACTGCTTACAGTACAGTGATTTTTGTATCTTAGCTGGTAATCAAAGATGATTATATATTAAGTGAGAGAAAACATCATCTCTCTTCCAGATATCACCTCTCTGAAATCTGGGAAAATTCAATTTTAAGAACTATAACTGCATCTCCTGGTGGCAGCTGTCACCCTGAGAACAGGAACAAGGCAAAGAAAGTATACAGAACTTTGATTCTCCTACACAGGTGCACATAAAGTTAGTTTATTAATGACTACATTTTGAAGCCAGCCATTTTGTCCAATATTTAAATAACAAGCTGTTTAATATTAAAGCAGAAGGTACTGCCACAATGTGGCAGATGTAGCTTTATCCATAAACCCTTCACACAATTATACATTAAATGCTATTTTTATTTAAAGCAAGGCACCCCTACTTGTTCTAAAATATGGGATGTGCTACTGCACTGAAAAGCAAATGAGGAGACAGATTTTTTTACCTGTCTAGAGCTGGTTTAAATCAAGTGAAGCCATTAATGTCCTTATAAGTCTGGACTATTGTGACATATCACTTTACAGTTTCAAGACTAAGAAACACCCTTAAGGTTTACCCAAAACCAAAAAAAAAAGGGGGGGGGGATCAACTTTTAAGTTGAGACTAGACTTCCCCCTAAACAGACAGGCACCAATGTTAAATGCCTTTAACCACAAGGTTTAGAAAGGCAAAACATTTCTAAAGACATAAAACTGCCAACTTGTCATTTATACTCACTAACCTGTGGTATTTATTTATTTTAATCACTACCCCTATCTAAATAATCAAATATAGCTAAAATTAAAACTATCTGCCACACCATAGTGGTTTAAAGGTCTGAAACCTTTCCTTGCTTTGGTGAGTGTTTGGTTACAATAAAACATTATTTCATCCATAAGAAGCTTTACATCAGAGCTCTCAATTCATAGGCAAAATCAAAACTTTAAACAGATTATTTTTTAAATGAGAAAAAGATTTTTTAAAGATAGTACTGAATAAAAATATGTAGTCTTTACAATGGGTAACATATCCTCTATAAAAACAAACTGCTTAATTATATAAAATAAAGAATTAATCAGATTTTCTTAATCAGATCCTGAACAGTTTAAACAAAAATTTAAGATTTGTGGTTTATTTCATAACACCAAATTGAATCTTTCTCCTTCAATAGTTCACTATGAATTTTTCTTAGAAGCATTAACCCAAACCCAAAATCCGTTCTCTAGCAGTTTCTGCCAATAAACAAGAACTTTATAGCCCATGTCCAAGAAAGATGTGCAAATGAAATGCTTCTTGCTTCATCCTGAAAATAAAACAAAAAAATGTTACACTTTTGTTTTGCTTTTTTTTTTGGCGGGGGGCAGTACTAGGAATTGAACTCAAGGGCACTTGACCACTGAGCCACATCCCTACCCCTATTTTGTATTTTATTTAGAGACAGGGTCTCACTGAGTTGCTTAGCACCTCACTTTTTGCTGAGACTGGATTTGAACTTGCAATCCTTCTATCTCAGCCTCCCAAACTGCTGGGATTACAGGTGTGAGCCACGGCACCCAGCTGCACTTCTGTTTGAAATGTAAAAAAAAAAAAAAAAAAAAAAAAAAAAAATTACTTGTGTTTACATACCATTTAAAAGTACAAGTTCAATTTTTTTTTTCTTCTTCCTGACTCATAAGTTATCTGACAAAATTTAAGTCAGGAGCCAGGCATGTTGGTACACTATAATCCCAACATCTCAGGTAGTGCATACCTATAATCCCAACATCTCAAAAGATGGAGGCAGGAGGATCACAAGTTCAAGGGCAGCCTTACCAACTTAGACCCTGTCTCAAAAATAAAAGGTACTAGGGATGTAGCTCAGTGATAAAGCACACCTAGGTTCAATCATCAGTACTGTAAAAACAAAACAAAATTTAAAGTAAGGAAATTAAGGCATTAAGGTACCTAGCCTTGTATGAAGACAGATTTCTGGCACTGAGCACAAAATATATTTCATATAGAAATAAGGTAATAATTGGGACTGTGGAACTTTATATCCAAAAATAACCTACGACATCTATAGTAACAGAATGTGTTTTACTACATATGGGAAAATAATTGCAATACAATATATGAAAACAATTAATGGAGAAAAAAAAAGATATCACATATTTAGTCAAAGGACACTGAGATATATTTAGCAGCCAGGTGCAGTGGTACACACCTATAATCCCAGCTACTCAGGGAACTGGGAGTATCACCAAGTTCGAAGCCAGTCTTAGGGAGACTGTCTCAAAAAACATTTTAAGGGGGGCTGGGGATATAGCTCAGTGGTAGAATGCTTGCCTTGCATGCACAAGGCCCTGGGTTCAATCCCCAGCACCACAAGAAAAAAGTATGTAGCTTGGTGGTACAGCACCCCTGGGTTCAATCCCCAGTTCTGAGGGAGGGAAGAATATATATGTTTATTAAATATGTCATAGATAAGTTAACACTATGAAACTATGTTCTTCCTAAGACAAAAAATCATTTTCAAAAGAAAAAGGAAGTAATGACAAATTAACTGCATATGAATGACACACCCTGATTTCATATATAACACCTTTTATACATTGTAAAAATATCTCACAACTGAAGAAATCTGTTTACATTTTAGTGGGAAGAAAAGCTAATGCAAGGGAAACTTTCCATAAATTATAATTTACAGCTACAAAAGATAGCTATACAATTTATGGAGGGGCACACAGCATGATAAATGTTGGGAATTATGAAAAAATTTTTATGCATGGATAATGCCTGAAAGCACTATATAATCAAAATGAACTTTTATTCTTTATAGTGTTACTTTAACTATCACTAGAGCTTGATCTTTATTAAAAAGAGAATGGTTTCTACCATATTACAAATTAGTGAGTTAATGATTATTCATCTATTTGAAAATAATTTCCACAATTGGACCTCTTAAATTTACTTTACTTAGGCTGGGAATATAGTTCAACAGGGCACTAGCTCAGCAAATGCAAATGCAAGACCCTGGGTTCAATCCATGCACGGCAGGAAAAAAAAAAAAATTACCTTACTATCTGGAGTCCCTGGAAGTCTTATTTTCCTTTTGGACATGAATTCAGGAACAGTTCAATATACCTATGCTCTGAAAACAATAGAAAAAGATTAGTTTTTAAAACCTGAAAAGGCAGAAAAAATACTGCAGCCATTTTCCTCATAGTTTAGATGATAACTCAAACATTTTTCTTTATTGGGGGAAATAAAAAAACGAGGGCTGGAGTTGTGGCTCAGTGGTAAAGCGCTTGCCTAGCATGTAGGAGGTCCTGAGTTTGATTCTCAACACCACATATAGAGAATAAAGGTCCATCAACAATAAAATATTTTTAAAAAAACGAGGCTACAGAGGATGGAAAACACCTATGGTCTTAGCTACCAGGAGACTGAGGCAGGAAGATCACTTGAACCCCCTTAAATTTGAGACTAGCAAGACCCCATTGCCGCCCAAATTTAAAATAAAAACATTTAAAAAATCAAAAACAAGTAGGCAAAAGCAAAATTAAAACAAAACCCCAACTCTGGATAGAAATATAAGGAAACTGGCAGTCAACTAAATGTTTTTCTTATAATACAGTGTTTCATATTTTACCTTTAAGTAGAATTTTCCCTAGGAAAAATTCTAGACCAATCCCTAAATAAGGAAAGATATTTGTAAGCAAAGATAAGCACTGAATACAAGGAAAACCATGAGCAGTACTTACGAACATGGGACCTATCCTTGAGCATAGCTGCAACAGCATCCTCATGGGTATCGAAGTGCACATCAGCTTCTCCAGTAGCCTTTCCATTGGAACTGTATTCCATGGTGATTCTCACGGGCTTCAAGGGAGCAAAAAACTAAACGGAGGCAAACAAAAAGAATATAACTGAACTAAGACCAAGCTTTAGATGTCTGGTGGCTCTACTTTTTTTTTCTTGCAGCACTAGAGATCAAACCCAGGGCCTCATGTGTCAGGCAAGCAATCTACCCCTGAGCCACATCCCCAGCCCAGGTAGTGGTGGCTCTGCTTTTGCTTTCAGTCATTGATTCATACACCTGACACAGTGGTTTTTAGAAAATCCATTAAGCAATAAAATAGTTACAAATCTACCATCTCTTCTGGTCTGAATTTTCTGACTCAAGATTACATTTCAAATATCTGTTATCAAAGAACCTCAAACTACAGATCCTTATACAAATGGTTCTCACACAATTTTTCATTTCTCCCATACACATCTGTTTCTAAAGAATATCTATCAAATATACTTTATTCCTCAGTAATACATTTAATCAGATATGTAGCTATCAGTTTTCAGAAATACACAAACTGGGCTACCACACTAAATGGTTATCATTCCAAACCAAAGCAACAACACGTTTCTTCCTTTTTTTTTTTTTTAATATTTTTTAGTTGTAGATGAACACAATATCTTTATTTATTGTTATGTGGTGCTGAGGATCTAACCCAAGGCCTCACATATGCTAGGCAAGTACTCTACCACTGAGCCACAACTCCAGCCCACAAAAACAAGTTTCAATGAAAACTTGCAAACTTCAATTTGGGTAAAGATATAATTCCTAATATGCACTTTTTTTTTTTTTTCTTTTTGTACTGGAGACTGAACCCAGGGGTCTTTAATCACTAAGTTACAACTTGAGTCCTTCATTTTTTGAGTCAAGTTCTAACTAATTGGCTTAGGACCTCGATAAACACTAAACGGCTGACACTGGCCTTGAACTTGTGATCCTCCTGCCTCAGACTTCCAAGTCACTAGGACTACAGACATATGTTACCACACCCAGCTCTTAGTATGTTTTTTGAAATAATGACAACTCTGAGGCTTCACTAGTAACCAAAGACTCTAGGTTTGGATCTATCTTTCATACATGTTCTCAAGTTCCTAAAGTTGAGAGCTTTGTAGTTTTATGTTTTATTTCACATAGTATCTATTACTAAACAAAAAAAATGTATTTTAAATTTACTTTCTCAAATATTAGGGAATCCCATTTCATGAAGGCTACATGGTATCTCATAAAAACTCAAGCCTAGATTTTTGTCTAGTACAGATGTGCCCTGAATTTATAATGGTTAGATGGTTCCAGTTATGATTTTTCAACTTCACAATTGTGCAAAAGCAATCCAAATTAAGTAGAAACCATACCCTGAATTTTTAACTTTTCCCTGGCTAGCAATACAAAGTAAGGTACTCTGTTGAGATGCTCAGTAGTGGCAGCAAACATGTCCCAGTCAACCACAAGATCACAAAGATAAACCACCAACACCCTACAGTATACTGTGTTGCTATGATGTTTAGCCGATTAGGTATATTAAATGTATTTTCAAATTATGATATTTTCAATTTATAATGGAACACTGAAATATCTGTATATAACTGCTCTGTAAAAAAATGAACAAAAAAACCCTCTGTAATCATGCTTTAGTGTCATTTTCCCAAAGTGAAAAATAAGTAAGTTGAAGTCATTTATTCTAAAACCAAATTTTCCTACTTTATTAATAAATCTACACCATTTTGCTGTGCATTTATAAAATCCTCACCTGATTTTCACAAGTGTAATAAAAAGCCACCCCCACCCTTTTAAGTTGTGGACGACCCTTTACTTTGTTCTTATTTATATGCAGTGCTGAGAATCAAACCCAGTACCTCACACATGCTAGACAAGCACCTATATCACGGAGCTGCAACCCCTGCCACACCCCACCCCCTTTTTTTTAATATATTTTTTTTTAGTTGGACACAATGCCTTTATTTATTTTTATGTGATGGTGAGGATCAAACCCAGGGCCTTGCACATGCTAAGCAAGTGCTCTACCACTGAGCCACAACACCAGCCCTGGCCCCGGCCCCCACCCTTTTTTTAAGAGAACCAATCCACCTACAGTCCACAAGTTGGCCTCAAACTCCTGGATTCAAGCAATCCTCCTGCCTTATCCTTGAAGTAGTTGGGACTATAGGCACAGACAACCATACCCAGATATCCTACACTTTTCAGCTACAAAAAATTAAACAAGCCTTTACAAAAGAGATGCTATCTCACTATCTAAAGATACTCCAGAAATACAGCATTTTCTTCTGCACCTTCCGCAAACTAATACAAGTTCAATTTTAGAACTCAGTTCAAACCTATTGAGAATGGATATCTTAGTAGCACACACATTTATAATGTCTTGGGCATTAGCTTGAAAAGGTAATCCTCTCATGTGGACAAAATGCAATGAAGGCGTAGTTCCAAAATCAACAGCTTCTGGAAGCTTTTCTGACATCTCCTTAGGCAATTCTGAAGGAGAAACAAAAAACACCATCAAGGACATAAAGCATCAAGAGCTATTAATAGATTATAATTAGATATGACCTTTATATCAAAATCTTCAAATCATCTTGAACCAGTAAGGAAGGGCTTTAAAAGCCAAAATAATCTGAATTTCTGCTATTTAACAAATATCACCTGAATACCCATAAGTATCTAATACTTGAATCCATTACTAAATTAAGAACTTAATTTTCTATTACAACAGAACGAAGGTAAACCGGTCATGAACTAAACTATAAAGAAAGAGAAACTTTCTGGGTTCCAGGAGGAAAGGAAAGGAAGATAGAAAAATATAGTGACAGGATAACTGCAAAGCGCCAACTGGAAAATACTTAACAAATTTCAAAGACTCCAATGTTGCTTCGAGGTTAGGAATCAAAGAAATTATTAAATCCAGAGGCAAACAAAAATCCTTACTTAATATCCCTGCTCTGTACAACTATCTTTCCCTATCTTAGTTTAAATGCTGACATTTTACTTCCTTTCATTACATTTTTAGTGTCCAGCTTTTAATAGACTACAAAATTATTAAGTTAAAAACATAACCAAATAATTAAGCCCTTCAGTATATATTCAAAGTACATACTACAGAGACATTAAATCTTTAACTCAATTTCCTTGTCCTGCAATCTCACAATACAATGATTATTAAGAAAAATAGTTTAACAAAAACCAAAACATACAAGATAGACCCAATGAGTCTCAAGAGGAGATAGGACCTTACCTATCTCCTTCTCACTTTCAAAACCTGTCATGGGTCGAATGTCCTCATTTACTTCATGTTCTTCAAACACCATTTCTGGCTCAGTTATATACTTAGCAGTAGGAGAAGATGCCATTTTCTTTCCCTTATGAGAGCCAACATGGGTTCGAACTTCATTCCTTCTGCTTGGAAATATCTCTATATACCTAGGTCAAAACAAAAACAAATAGTCACAAATGATGCAAAATAACTGTACACTGAACCCATTTAAAATAGGTTTTAAGGGGTTGGGGGTTGTGGCTCAGCAGTGGAGCCCTCGCCTAGCACGTGTGGGACGCTGGGTTCCATCCTAAGCACCACATAAAAATAAAATAAAAGTATTGTGTCCAACTACAACTAAAACATAATACTAAAAAAATAAATAAATAAAATAGGTTTTAAGATATTTCCAATAGCTTATAAAATACATGTATCCAAAAAAGAACAGGAAAGGGAAAATTTAACAGTGACTGCAGATATTAACCCATGAAAACAATACTCAGAACAGAATAGATCAATAATTTAATCATTTTGCCTCAAAATTTTTGCCCCAAAATATATTTTCATATACATTTTAACAATATTTTTTACTGTTTTGCTTTATAAGAATAACTATCCTCGTTGTAATTGTGGGTACAGAAACTAAACTTTTTTTTGGAATGCAAAAGGTTTGACAGATTTATGGATTTTTTTTTTTTTAAAAAGAATCTTTACAAGGTTGCTGTGACTTAGATGTTTCCCCCCGCCAATTTCTTGGTTAGGAGCTTCGAAACTGGAGTGACAATACTGGGGGATGCTGTGAAACTTTAAGAAGATAGTCTTTTAGTCATTTGGGGCACTGCTCTAAGAAGGGAATCCTGAAGTTAATTCTCAGAAAAGTAAGTTGTTATAAAAGCCTGAGTCTACCCCTAAAATCACTCTGACTTCTTGTTGTGAGATGTGATTTCTTCTTCCCACAGGTAAGCACTCATAACATTCACAGCAGGGGGGACCTTGCCAATGCACCACACTGTGTGGACTTTCAGCATCTAAAACTATGGGCTAAATAAACCTCTTATTGTTATAAAGTTAGCCTGCATCAGTATTTCATTACAGTAATGAAAAACAAACCAAAACAAAGGTTTTTTTGGTCTTCTTTCCATAGTTGTTTATCAACCTGTCGAAGCCCTGCAACTGAATTCTTTGAAAATTAGTCACATTTGTAAAAGATGGTCCCAGTGTAGCCAAGTGCAGTAGCACACACCTATAATCCCAGCAACTCAGGGGGCTGAGGTAGGAGGATCACAAGTTCAAGGCCAGCTTCACAGACTAAGGGAAACCCCCAGCAATTTAGCAAGACTCTGTCTCAAAATAAAAAATAAAAAATTCCCTCTATAGTCCATCACTGGTAAGAAAGCTCAGTGGTAAAGTACCCAAGTTCAAACAAAAGAGTCACAGGATAAGAAAAGCTACCTTTTCTAGAATTTCCCTAGGAGGTAAATGAGAACTCAAGAATTCTGACTTGCCATTATAGTGACAGTGGGACTAAATTAAATCCAAGCTTTTTTTCTTCAACACTGTTACTCCAAACTAGCTTATTAAACATGAGCTGTAAAAATTATTTGTATTATTACCACTAAATAGGGAAGAGAGGTGGGAGGGAAAAGGAGAGAGAAGGGGAGTTGCACGGAAGATGGAAGGAGACCCTCATCGTTATACAGAATACATGTATGATGTGAGGAGAAAAAGAAAAAAAAAAGTGTCACATTAGATTGGATAGAGAGAAGTGATGGGAGGGGAGGGGAGGGGAAGGGGGATAGGAAGGACAGCAGAATACAATAGACTTTATGACTGCTGTATGTATATAGGTGATTCTATGACCAGTGTGATTCTGCAATCTGTACAATCAGAAAAATAAGAAATTACACTCCAATTGATTCAAATGTATAAATTGCCAAGATCATTGTAATGTCATGTGTAGCTAATTAAAAAAAAAAAAAAAAAAAAGTGACCAGAGCCAAGTACAGTGGTGCACTCCTGTAATCCCGGTGTGTTGGGAGGCTGAGGCAGGAGGATCATAAATCCAACACCAGCTTCAGAAAGAGTGAGGTTCTAAGCAACTCAGTAAGACTCTTTATTTAAATAAAATAAGAAATAAGGCTGGGGATGTGGCTCAAGGATTGAGTGAGCTAATAAGTTTTAGAATGACTTATTATCTAGTGATAAAAAAAAAAAACCCATTCACTATAGCCTGGATGCCAAGAGTCAGTCACAAGTTCCACAGAAATCATATGGAAAACAGCTAGTGTCTTATAGATAATGATTTAATTTTTCTTCATTTAAATTTAAAGTTGACTCTCTTGGTAGGCTGTATTGAATTATAGACATAAATGCCTATTATTTGTGCTAACTCATAGTACCCCATAAAAAACAAAAATCAGACATCATAATCCTGCCATTAGGCTCAAGGCAAAATGCAAATAAGTTCTCCTTTAATTGCTTATACTCTAGAGTCAAGAGATCATGACAGATCTAAAGACCTGACACCCTCCAACTCTTTTTCATTTTTAGTATTAACACTAGAAACTTTATAATTTTACTTGTGCCTCATTTTTTGTGTGTGGGGGGGAAGTAGGGAAATTGCATATGAGTTTAACTCTCAAGTTATTTTCTCATATGACCAGAAGAAAAATAAATAAATAAAAATTTTTTAAAAAAAATTATTTGTATTTACAGACCTAAAACAATTAAATGAGGGACTAGGTGTGTAGCTCAGTGATAGAGCACTTTGCCTAGCATAAATGAGGCCCTGGGTTTGATTCCCAGAACCTAAAGGGAAGAAAAAATAATAATTAAACAAAACATTTTTTTGAAACAGAGTTTTGCTATATTGCCCATGCTGGCCTCAAACTCGAATCCTCCTGTTACAGCATCCCAAGTAGCTTGGATTACAGGTGTGTCACTGTGCCCAACTCAAGAACCACTTTTTTAAAAAGACCTATGAACCCATTCTATAAGTAGATTCTGAAATAGTCAGCTTTTGGAGTGGCGCTATTTAAAAAAAAAAAAAAAAAAGCTTCGAAGGAGCTAAATAAAAAGGCCAGAAAACAGCAAAACAGAGATTTAAAATTTGACAATTTCCTATGCCTCCAAAATTGAAGCTAAGCACAAATCACCTACATCATTACATGCATCCTGATGTGATATAAACAGGAGACACTGCCTGACCCAATTTCTTCAAAAGTCAACTGCATTTTTAAAAGGGAAAAAGAATAAAAAATAAAGAAGGGAATTTGCTCTATTTTAGGAGAATCAGAGTCATATTAAAAGCAAGGTATGGATTTGTCTGGATTCTGGCTCAAACAAACAAACTACAAAAAGGTATTTGGGGTTTAACTGTGAAAAGATTGTGGGTTATTACTGGATAATAAATTATTGCTAATTTTGTTAGATGTGCCAATATTGTGATTATGTAAGAAAATACCTTTTTAAAAAGACAAATACTGAAAATAAACAGATGAAATAAACATAACAAATGTCAATAATTTGTTAATCCAAGCAATGGATGTCTGGTGGCTCCTCATACTATTCTACATTTCTGTGTCTGGAAACTTTCAGTCATAGTAGAACACATTCATCAAAATGACTTGAAGTGTGATGCTGCTGCATCACTAGTATCTGTCTCACTCACCTGTTACCAATTTCTTCCCTGTGTTTCAACAAGGCTTGGTTGGCCATTTCTGGTTCTTCAAACTGCACATATGCTTCCCCTGTTTTTCTTCTCCCTCTATAGTCCATTACAAAAGTAATGTCCACTATATTCAGTCCTAGGATACAAAAAATTATTCCAAATTAGTGTTGCTACCGGGAGCTTTTTATAATCTTTATAGTTAACAAATGCACTAATAAAACTTGTATGTGGTTTTGCCAATCCCAAAGCTGGATACATGCTTAATGGGTAGAAGTTATTATGCAGCCAGAAGTTATTAATAAATATGTACTTATATTTTCAGAATGTTGATGGTCCAACTAACCAATCTTTTTTCAATACTAGGAATTGAACCAAATGGTACTCTACTACTGAGCTACATCCCAACCCACCCTGCTACTGAGCTACACCCCAACCCACCCTGCCCTTTTTTTTTTTTTTTGAGACAGGATCTCGCTAAGTTGTCTAGGCTAACCTTAAATTTGAGATCCTCCTTCCTCAGCCTTCAGAATACCTGGGATTATAGGTGTGCAAGACCATGCTCAGGTCCAAGAAACCTATCGTAAACACACCATTCCCTCAATTTTTTTTTAACTTTTTTGTCATTAATTATATTTGAAGAGACAACAGAGATTTAGACTAACATTACTACTAATGGCACATATTTTATAGCTAGAAATTAGATAACACTTTGAAATCATATAAATGGTTATTGTATTAGACAAATACGGCCACTATCTTGAGCAGACATTTTCTTCTATTGTAAGACAAACCCTCATGAAATTCTGAAATGTGACATCCCCCAAAGATCTGCCTATTAGGATCAAAACATATCTAAGATACAGAACAACAAGGCAAGGGGACGGAGTGTGTGGGGAGAAAAGAAATAAGGACCCAAACATGATATGACTACAAAGCACCTGCAAAGAAGTCCACGATATCTTTCTCATTGCAACTATAAGGAAGTCCTCTTAAACGAACTACACCATCATTCACCACAGGTGACGACTTGACCTGTAGGCTCTTCATTAAGGCATCCACATCTTCATTATTTATCTCATATACTACAAAGAAAAAGCACAAAATGGATGTAAAATTTACATAACAAAGGACACCACTTTTTTAAACCTTTATTTATTTATCTTTATGTGGTGCTGAGGATCGAATCCAGGTCCTCACACGTTCTAGGTGAGCGCTCTACGGCTGAGCCACAACCTCAGCCCCAGAAGGACACTACTTTTTAAAAAAGAAATCAAACACACTAACACTTGGTAGATTATCCAAGAATTAAAACACCAATGGTTTTAATCTTTTTGCACATCTCTCAAGAAAATAACATTTATTGAATATTTATTATGTGCCAATCATAATCTATTTAACTCACAACTTTAAGATAAACTTAGTCAACACTTTCATTCTATAAAAAATTCAGATGATCTCTCTAAGCTTCATTTTTACAAGTTGTAAAATAATGCTACTTCACTATTGTTAATGAGTTTTGCAAAATTTAAAATCTAATGCAAGATCATAAAAAGCCAGAATCTGAGGAACATACCTTCCACATATCGCTGACCCATGTACATGCGGTGCTTTTCTAAGGCTTTCTGCACATCCTGCTCTGACTCCATTTCAATTAAGGCATCACCCCTTCGTTTCCCATCTCTATTTAAAAGGAAATGTATTCCATTCTCACTATTGCGGATTCTGCAGTCTAAAAGTATATGAATAAAGTCAATTAAAAACAGAAATCAAACATCAAGTTCAATTATACAAGTCATTAGAATGCAATTTTCCTACAACAAAGGAGGAACCAAAATGCCTGTCACATTCTTTACACAAATCCCCATCACTGAAGTCATCCAAACACTAATGAGGTAGCGGTGTCTAAAATGTTCCAAGCAGAAAAGATAAGTAAACCTTGGCTCAGAAGCTTAAGATCTTCTGACCATTAAATGTCAAGTCAGGCTGGGTGCAACTCAAAATGCATTATGTCCATTCCAACGTTTATATAACCGGTTTCAAATCACTTAAGGAATTAAAATAATAGGTTTAACTTCTATGAATAAAATATCTCCTATAAAAGAAATTCTGCTATGATAATTTAACTTTCCCCATTTTCCATTATAAGAAAGGCATCCCCATAGTGCACATTTCCTACAATGCAAGTCAAAGATGTAAGTGGCAATTAGCTTTATAAAATGCGTGACTCACACAATATTATGAACATTAATACATTAAGTCACATCTTTTTTTTAAGATTTTTTAGTTGTTGATGTACCTTTAGTTTTTATTTATTTATATGTGATGCTGAAGATCGAACCTAGTGCCTCTCACATGCCAGGCAAGTGTCACTGAGCTACAACCCCAGCCCTTCAGTTACATCCTTTTACCACATTTGAAAGTGACATCTACTAAAAGTCCTTTTTAAAAAAATTTTCTTTTTTTAGTTGTAGATGTACACAATACCTTTGTTTTATTTTTATTTTTTATGTGGTGCTGAGGATCGAACCCAGTGTTGCACACATATCAGGCAAGTACTCTACCAATGAGCCACAACCCCAGCCCCCTAAAAGCCTCTTGAAAGGAAAATTAAAAACTACAGTTAGATATAGAAACTAAAAAAATAAGGACTAGTAAACCTTGAAATATGTTATTAAAGGAACTTTATGCAAGTAATCTTGCATTTAAGTTCATTTACTACATAAACAGCTACTTTCAATCCCACATTTCCACTGATAGGTTTGGCTTTTTGTTATGTACATAGTAAAACTTAAAAGAAAACTGGCTTCATATCATGTCATTTTAATATTACTTTTGTTGCAGTCAATCATTAAATATGATACATACCACAAACAGTATCATGATGTCACTTGGTATTGAGTGTAAAACCAGCCAGAACAATTTCCAATCATCAAAGACACTGTCTCCACCATAGCTATACTTGGGATTCTGTAGATCAACCCTTTACTCAGACAAAATTACATGTTTAAAATACAATAAGATTTACCTGAGAAAAAGTTAAGCACATCTTCCACAGTACATGACCAAGGCAATCCTTGAGCTCGAATGAGATAAACATCATCTACCTCCTCTCCTAACTTGGATGGGGCCAATTCATACTCAGGGAGTGGTGGAAGGTCCTCCAGGTAGGTAGTTTTGGACTCCTTTCAAGAGAAATGAAGAAAAGACAACCAACTTAGTGCTTATTTCTTCAAACAGATGCTCTAGATATTAAGATTATTTCAGAGGTCAGAAGTAAACTTCACAAATCTAACTTCCTGTTTTGGCTTAAAATTGAACATCCTAAAGCAATAAGCAAATATATCCTAGTCATTTAGCAGTGCAAATTTTCTTCAGGACTTATTTTTAAATTCATCAACCCCAAATTATAACTAATAATAATGTTTTAGTTAGGATAGTACAAGAAGGATTCCTTCAGTATGACAAAAATATTTTAGAGTCCCTTACACAGAATGCACCACATTAGACCCTCATTTCAAAATAAGACACATACAGAAGACAAGATGCTTCAAGTGCTATAATTAAGATACAAAATACTATAGAAATTAAAAATAAAGCCCTAACAGAAAAAGAATCAGGAAGTGATCAAAGATGGACCTTACAGGAAATATAAAAGTTTGAGAAATATAAAAGTATTCCAGTTTGAGGTGAGGGGAAACAGCAGTCCAAACAAAGGTGCATTTGAAAAATAGCAATTAATCCCATTTGTCTTGCAGGGTAAAAACAGAGCCAAAGAAGATGAGCTGGCAAAAGGAACTTGGGTACTATACAGCAGAAGGCCTTCAGTGTTGGGCTCAACCTGTGTCCTTCACTTAGGGTTAGCAAAGGGAAGTTAATAAAAAGACACTGAGGAGTGGGTAAAACAACAAGACAGCAGGAGGCCTTGGAAAGATTAATCTGTTGGACCAATTGAATAAGGGAAAGATCTTAAAAGGCAACAGCAGAAGTGTGAGGTAACAGGAGCCTGAGAAATACTTAAAGTAGACTATAACACTGAGCCCAAACTGGAATGTAGAGAGAACCCCAACAAAGCACTACAGCCATAAATTCAGAACGTAAATCAGGCTTTAAGACTTGCAATCTACTAAGCTAAGGACAGATATCTGTGTTCCAGTCATGTTTTCATGAACACTTAAAGTCCAATTTTAAGGCGTCAATGATAAGTGTAAGCAAAATGTCTAACACACAACAGATTTTACAAGAAACCAGCTCACAAAGCGATTTTTTTAAGACAACTTTTTTCTCGTTTCCCAGAATTCCATAAGCATCATAAGATTTTACAGAAAAAAAAGCAGGATAAAGTATTGGGCCAGTATTCAAATCAATTAGCTCAGCCATGGGCAGACAGCAGCCTCCCAAATTCCATAAATTCAAGGAGAAGCACAAACTGAATTATGATAAATATGACCCAAAGCATTAGCGCGGTAGGTAGTGAAAAAGTGAGCTGGCACTTCTCAGATGCCACGTAATAAGCAGAAGAAAAAGCTCCATATACAATGCATAGAATAACTGCAATCTGGGTTCTTCAAATACACACTTTAAAAGATAAGAATGGAAAAAAGTAAAGGAAAATATTCCCAACGGGGGCCCCAAATCGTAGCCCACTAGACGCTCCTACCCCACTCATCCCCTCCCCCAATATCCAAGTGTTCTCCCAGTGGACCGCGATCGACAGTCCTAAAGGACCTTCTGTCAAAGGAACTGGAGTTGCAGAGGTGACCTTCAGTAAATTGGGGCAGCCCGCCTTTCCCCGGGGAAACCAGAGAGAGGGGCGCGCTGGAGATGCGGCTCCTTCCCAAGCCAGCTCACGCAGCTGTGTGGCGAACCTTAGTATCGGTGGCTACCGTGAGGCGCCGCGGGCCGCCCGGGCCTAGTGCTCTGGCTGCACCGAAACTCCCAACCCTCCGCGGGGTCCGGCCTCCCAACTTCACGACCAGCGGGCGGAGAGCTAGAGGGATGCGGGGTTGGGGGCATCAGCAGCCTCACAAAACCTACCATGGGCCGGCGGGAAACAAGGCCTCAACATTCACCCCAGCCACACTTACACTGCCCAACCGACCAGAGACTCGAGGGGAGAACAAAAAAAGGAGAAAACCCAAGGCCTGGGAGAGCGTCCCTTGTTCCCGTGCCCAATAGGAGGACGGAGCGGGAGGGGGGCGGGTGTGCGGCGCCTGCCGCGGATACCCGGGCGCGCACGCGAGGCGCACGCGAAGGGGCGCGGGGACGCGTGCGCGCGTCCGGAGAGGGGTCCAGTGCGCAGCCCCTCGCAGCGTCCACGTACCTGGCTGTAGCTCCGCGCGGCGGCCGCCAGCGACTGCGGTAGCAGAGGAGCGCGTAGAGCCGGGTAGGAGGCGGAGGCCGCGGCCGCCGCTGAGGTGGCCGCAGGTGGAGGGCCCGCCAGTCTCCCGGCGGGCGCAGGCCCGATCTGGAGGCCCCGCGTCTGAGAGGCGGCGGCCGCAGCGGCCCCGAGTAACAGCAGCCGGCGGCGGCGGCCCGAAACGCCCGAGGGGAAGGAGCCAGCGGCGGAATAAAAGGGCAAACAGGCGGCGCCGGTGCGCCGGCAGCTGCTGCAGTTACAGCCGCAGCCCCGGAGCAGCGCCCCGAGTACCCAGCGCGTTCCGGCCATGGACTCCGGAGGCGGCGCGGGGCCTGGAGGCAGCTGCCGCTGCAGCGCGAGCGGAGGGGAAGTGGAATCCAGGGCCGGGGAGGGGGCGCCGGGCACATGCGCCGCGGGCGCCAGGGGCAGTGGTGAGTCGGAAAGAGGCGGAGGAGAACGCGCCGCTCCGCCCTGTCTCCGCCTTCAGGGCGGGGCAGCCCGCGGGTCGGGAGGGACAGGGAGGGACAGCGGGACGCGGGAAGACCGCCCCACTGGGTAACTGAGTCCCAAAGAGAACCCTGCGAGGGCCTTCCAATTCTGGATTGGTCCCTGACCTGAAGCGCGGGTCTGCTTCCGCTTCACACTGTACCTCCGAAACGTGTGATGTAAGGAGCGAAAAAAATATTTCTGGAAAGAATTGTGATTCTTAATTATAAAAAGATTCTGGGGTAGTATCAGAGGTTTGGTACCGCCACATAAGATGTTCAGGAAGCCAACTTTCTTTGTTTTAAAAATCAAATATTTATGCTGAGAATGTATATTACAAAGATGAAGCCTCCCCTAATGAGACAGTGTAGTCACAGGGGACTTGCAGAGATTTGCAAATAAAAAATAATGATCGGTTGTGTAGTTTTCCTATGAACTGTATTTGTCAAGGCTATAAGGATAAATGGAATTCCTAGAGTTAAAAATAGAACAAAGCTAATATCTTAAAAAACTTTAAAACATGAATGAAGATATGGCTAAGTGGTAAAGCGTTTGCCTAGCATACAGGAAGCCTGAGGTTCAATCCCCAGTACCATGGGGGGGAGGTATTATTATGGAAAATCTCAAACATAGAAGAATACAGTGAACTTCCAGAACTAAAGAAATTATCAGGGGCTGGGGCTGTAGCTCAGTAGCAGAGCAATGGCTAGCCTGTGTGCGGCACTGAATTTGATCCTTAGCACCACGTATAAACAGACAAAATAAAGGTATGCTGTTCATCTACAACTACAAGAAATTATTTTAAAAAAGAAATTATCAACATTTTTAGATGCTTCATCCATCCCTGCTGCCACACCAAGTTTTGTTTTGTTTTAAGACAGGGTCTGCCTAAATTACCCAGGCTTACCTGTATCCTCCTGCCTGAGCCTCCCAAGTAGCTGGAATTATAGGCATTTGTCATAGCTCCCAGCCAAATTTTTTAATATATATATAATAATTTTTATTTGTCAGCCAAATATTTTCTTTTAAAGTAAAGGGTGATCATGTCAGTCACCCTTTCAGTCAGTATTCATCTTAAACTAGTAAGGACTTTTTTTTTTTTTTTAACATTCTAGTCAGTTACTTTCTAGATACTGAAAATTTTCATCTGAAGTTTGACTTGCTCATCCGAACTATTTTTAGGTAATGAAAGCTCAGTACTTCCCAGAAAATTCCCTGCCCCAAAAGCCAACAACTGGGAAAAAAACTTTGTACTTTGGCTATATAAACCTGAGCATGCAAGATTTCAAAATCCTATAGGGTTTTGTTGTTTTTGCTTTTGTGGAGTTTTGTTTGGTTGTTTTGTTTGTTTTTGTTTTTGTACTAGGGTTTGAACCCAGGGACCCTCTACCGCTGTGCTACATTCACCAGCCATTTTACATTTTAATTTTTTTAATATCTTTATTTTTATTTGTTTATTTTATTTTATTTTATTTTTATGTGGTGCTGGGGATAGTACCCAGGGCCTCATGCAAGGCAAGAGCTCTACCACTGAGCTACAACCCCAGCCCTTACATTTTGATTTTGAAACCCAGTCTCCTTAAGTTGCCCAGGTAGTCCTGGAACCTGCCATCCTCCTGCCTTGGACTCCAGAGTCGCTGGGATAGGCCGGTGCCACTGCACCCAGCTCTTCTTTTCTTTTTTTTTCCTCAGATCTTATTTTCTTAAACTTCTCTTTCAAGGGAAAAAAAAAGGGGGTTAACCCTTCATGACAGATTATCAAAATAAAATACAAGTTGGCCAGGCACAGTAGCACAGCCCTGTAATTCCAGCAACTCCAGAGACTGAGGCAGGAGGATCACAAGATTAAGACCAACCTCAGTAATTTAGTGAGGCCTTCCCAATTTAGCAAATCAAAAAATAAAAAGGTCTAGGCATGTAGCTCAGTGGTAAAGAGCCCCTGGGTTCAATTCCCAGTAGCAAAATAAATAAAGTACAACTTGTAGACACATTGGAGAGTTATTTATTCATGCCTTGGTTTTCTTAATAGCAGCAGCCATTGTCCATAAAGTATAAATCTGAATGGACTAGAAACCTAAATTGGTAGAAAGACACATTGTACTTTATAATCAGGAATAACACAAATGTTCAAATGGAAAGCTTTAATCTTTACCTAGAGGAAGTTGAGGAGACTATAAGAAATACAAAAAAGTGAATAATTATTCATCTAACAAATATGTATTATGTATTTTCTGTTCCAAGTACTGTGCTCTGTACCCTGTGCATTCAGGGATACAATAGACTTATAGCTCTAATATAAAAATGATATAAAAGTATATGTATATCTGAATATACAGAGAGAATAGCAAGTTTTGTAAATGAAACTAATCATTTATGGAACACCTGGTTTTAAAAGCTGTAGTGTTGGCAGACACAATACCAAAGAGAAAATCATCATTTGGAAAACATGGCAATAGGACAAGCAGTTTGTGCCACCACTGAGGTTCTATGGTCTACCACCTTCAGTCAACTCATGATAAATGTGCCTGACCTGCCAAGCAGAAGAAGAAATAAAACTGCAGTGCCAAGGCTAAAAGATTAAATACTATCAGGACTGGTTGAATGAGGCACCTAAAACTTGTACAGTGTACCACAGATTTAGGAGTAGATTCTATTACAAAACATCATCTAAACCCAAGGAGGGCAGTTATTGCAGGGTCCATCCAGTTCATCTTAAGAATTTCAATGCTAAGTCATGCAAGCATTGTTCTGGTTTTTAAAAATAAAATTGTATTTAGTGTAGCATTCTATAGCAAGAAAAGGAACAAATAGGAAATTTTAAATGCTATACAGCTCTAGTGAACTGTTAATTTAACAAAATAAAAGTAAAATTTACTTATTTTGTTTTACAAAAAAAAAAATCTTTATTGAATATCCCACATATACTGCCATATATAAGGGGACTACAGAGTTGTATCCTTGATCTTAAATAAATTTTGTGCAGAATTCCAAACATACATATTTACAACTAGCACTTAAGCCAGAACCTGATTAATTTAGGTTAGAAAGTTATGCTGAATGCTAATGTTGATGCAAGTGAGACAAAAGAGTGAGTAAGGGGCCAGGGTTGTGTCTCAGTGATAGAGCGCTTGCCTAGCACATGTGAAGCACTGGGTTCCATCCCCACTACCACACTAAAAATAAGTAAATAAAATAGTGAATGGGAACATAACATAAAATCAGATATTGTGGAAAGTATGAAAATATGTTTAGGAATAAACATGTTTCTATTAAGCCTACTTTGTGTATCAGTATTTACATTTTTCCAAATTTAATATCAATGTTTTCACTTCAGCGTTAGCTTTCAAAAATTCATGTCTAAAAAAGAAAATTTTTCCATACATTTTATTGTTATATTGTACATATTGGCAAGATTTGCTGATACATATTCATACTGGCACATAATATAACAATATAATTTGGCCAACATAAAAAGGACAATTTTTTTTAAAGCTCTCAATGTAAACTGTTAGGTTGCTTTCCTAAAACTACAATCCTATCAGAACAATGTAAAAGTAAACATTTAAGTAAGAAAATCTGTGTTTATTTGATAGGAAAAATTGTGTCAAATAGTTTCATATAGACATATGAGACATAAACTAGTGTTAAATCCACTTTTGTTAAGTCAGTGGACTTTGACCTCAAAGTATTAATTTGAGAGTTGTGAATATAAGTTGCTAATTTGGTTGAGATTGCCTAGGAACAAGTTTAGAGTGAGAAGAGAAGAAAAGCTGAGAAACCAGATGTGAAGTGTTTGAACTGTTAATGCTCTACAGATGAAAATGAGTCTGAAGAGCAAGAGTGATAAGAGGAAAATTAAAAGGCACCAACACAGTGTTTCTAGAAGGGGGAGAATTCACAGTGTCAAGTCCTTACCAAGATCAATACTTGGTCACCAAGTGGATGAGAACAAGAAAATGGTGTCCTGGATTTAGTGATGTGGAAGGCTTTCTAACCTTATCCACAATTGTTTGAGCTCCTGATAGCAGAGACCAAAACAAAGAATAGGTGAAGAAATGAAGATGGAAGTGCAAAAAAGTGATTTTATAGGTGAAGAAAAGGACAAAGCAGGGGCTGGGGTAGTGGCTTAGAGGTAGGGCACTTGCCTGGTGCATGTGAGGCCCTGGGTTCAATTCTCAGCACCACATACAAATAAATAAATAAAGACCCATCAATGACTAAAAGAAATTAAAATTAAAAAGGACAAAGCAGTAAACGAAGTATACCTCTAAAGTGGCTTTGTTTTCTTTTCATTAAATTTGTTGGGATTAAAGCATGTTGAACTGATATTGGGAAGGATTTAGTTGATAAGCACTAAGTAACCAAGAGAAGATAGGCACAGTTGCTGTGTAGAAAGAAGGTAGAAAAGAAAGCTGGAAGAGGATAGGTATCAAAGTTCAAATTCAAAAGTTGGCTTACTGTTTTTTTTCACCAAGAATCTAAACCAAGGGTGCACTATCACTGAACTATATCTTCAACCACTTTTAAAATGTTATTTTGAAACAGGGTCTCCCTAAATTACAGAGGCTCACCTCAAACTTGCCATCCTCCTGCCTCAGCTTTCCAAGTAGCTAGGATTGTCAATGTACACCACCACACAAGCTCAGAGATTAGCTTTAAGTAGAGACAGTTCCACCAGCTTTTCTAGAAATTGTTCTTCAATTGTTCTGATATAGTCATTTAGCATGTATTATAATAGAATATAAGGCATAGCACTGACAGGTTGTCAGCTGACTTCCTTGACAGTTTCTGTTGAAGACACTCTAGATTTAGGGGAAAGTAAGGAGAAAGAAGGAGAAAAACTTCCCATTTCTAGTGAAAAATATTAAAAGAAGTCCTCATAGGTCTAAAGAACACAC